ACAACTATTAACCAAAACCGATATTAATCAATAGATATATTTTAGTTTTAGTTTTCATACACACTAACACACATAACCTATTAAAAGAAACATTAATTGACCCCTTAAACTTGTATAAAAGCAACATTTGGTACCTGAACCTTGTAACTATATAAATTTTACATTTTTAAGATGTGTTTGAAAACGGGTTTCATTCTCACCATGTTTAGGTTTTCTTGCATTGTTTTCACCACAAAATAAGTAATTTGTTATGATAAATAACAAAGAAAACTCGAGAATTTCCTGATCACGTAAAAGTTGATGTTGCAGCAATTTGACAATGGAAATAATTACCAAACAAATGTGTTGATTGGAATTGTTTATGGTTCGCTAGGCATAATGAGTTAAAGTCATATACTCATATTTTATCAAGGTTTCAAAACTATCATAAACATATTAATAAACCCACGTCCGATTAAAAATTGCACTAGACAGACACACATAGGTTCAGAGTTGTCAATATTAATAACAATAAATGTACGTATTTACATGTTAAATCAATCCCATGAATTCTAAACAAATTAATCAAGAAAAGAAAAGAAAAAAAATGAGAGAAATTAACATTAGTCTCTAATTAATTAAATTCACCCCACAATAATCTTCACCCTGTTGATCGTTTTCATCTTCACTAACATACGCCGACAGGTTAATATACTTCTCCTGTTCAGCTCGATCTCTCCACCTTGCTCGACATATCACACAACACGTTGATCTTCTCCTACTACTCCTCTTCCACGCCATGAAACAATCTTCATGAATTGGATTCTTACAGGTGGCACACGCCACCAGTTTCCGATCACCTCTCCCCATCTCCTCCAGACACACCGGACAATTCGAACCCTCTTCCGCCACCACCGGCGGCCGTTTCCCATCCGGGTTGGTGGCGGCACGGTGGAGATACATTTCCTGGAAGCGTTGTCGGATGGCTACACCGGCAACGGCATCTGCAGAGACGGGAGCTGAGAGGAGGCGGGTGAGTTGGCAGGGATGGAGGTTTCGGCGCCATAAACAAGGGTCGTCGAGGGAGATGGAGAGGATGCGGATGTAAACGAAGAGGATGTGTTTGCATGGGGTGGTCCGGTCTGGGCATGTGCAGGATGGAGCGGCGGAAAGGGTGACTGTGTAGACGTTTCCGGTGGCGCCTAAGATGAAGAAGTCGTTGTTAGAGCGGTGGAGGAGACGGAGACGGTGTTCTAGTGCACGGAGGACTCGTTCTGTGAGAGGCTCGGGTGGGTATTGTGTGTAGTCTGCTGGCGGCGGTGGCGGTGGTGTTGGTGGTGCGGCGGAGGTGGAGGGATGTGCAGGTTCCATTTTTTTGGGTTTTCTTGTGGGGAAATGGTGTGTTGATGGGGGTATTGTAGGTGATGTAGAGATTCTTGGAGGAGACGTGAGGGGGAGGTAAGGGCGTAAGTTAACGGGATAAGTTACCGGTTGCCTCGTTAATATGAGGTTTAGGTTGTCTGTAAGGCAAGTCAACATGTACAAGAAGGGACTTCAAGGGGAGTTTGACTTATATATAAAAGACTATTCGTTGATTCATAATATAAATCGAAATTTCTTGAAAAATTAGAAGGAAAATTTTCAATTTGTAAGGCAAATAGTTAATATGTTTAACTTATTCCGAATAAACAAATAAAATGAAATAAAATATACAAAATACAAAATATTATTTTTAGATTTACAAATCATAAAGGAATAAGAAAGTTAGATAAATGACACAAAATATTTAAAATACCAAAATGTCTTTTGTAATATGAAAAGAATGGTTGGTTTAAAATCATGACCCTTATTAATGTACTTGACTACTTGTAATTGTTGATTTTGGTTGACAGTCTTTATGGCATAACGGAGGTTGAACAAAGAGAGTTCAATCAAATGCCAACTATATGTATATTATATTTAATTCATTAAAAAAAAAAAAAAAAAAAACTCACCATTTTGCATTGATATAGGCTAATATGAGGTTCAATCCCCATTGAACTCTACATTTTTTTTTCTCTTATATTCAATTTAATTCTATTAAGCTCCTATTCAACTCCAAATTGTGGATGTCCTTAAGCATTACATTGTTAATTAAGTTAGCATATATTGGTCTTCACCCCTATGTATTGCTTCATACGTTTTAGACATTCACTTAACCAAAAAAACTAGTAATATCAAATTTGAACACAAAATCAGAAGAAAACCCCGACTTTCTCGTTAGTGTAAAGTTGTAAAGGCACTAAGGGAGAGGTCGAGAAGAAGAACTAAAACTTTGAAATAAAACTCCCGTTGCCTCATCTTCTTCGGTTCTATTGACTCTTGGAATTAGGCGTGCAAAATGCATTTACCAAGAAATTTAAAGTGTTCTTTTCTTTTTTCACGCTCGGTTTTTGCCTTCTCAAACCTCAAATGATGTCTTTGTCAGGAAATATGTCTTGGACCTAAATGAAATACGTACCTAAAAGAATAAACAAATGCCTTGGCCAGTCTTGATTAACATGTGGTACATGTCATTTGAGATTGTCGTATGTCTTGTAAAATGTAAATGACATTTTGTTCATGTTGTATTTTGTATTACTTCCAATATGAAAAAAAAAAAAAAAAAAAAAAAAAAAAAAAAAAAAAACATGGCTCACTAGATATTTAGATGTCCAATCATGATTCAATGTGCCTTCTGTGTGGGTCATATAGACATATTTACTGTTTTCGTGCCATATATAGAAATAATATGGAGAATTAATTAAAGGAATCCTTTCAAAAAGTCACAACACATTTAAAGAACATTTTTATGTCTAAAAATAATTATATAAAAACTATTTTGTCAATTACATGACTAATTATGTTTTTTGTAAGTAATGCTTCATTACCATGTGTTTAGTTTATGTATGATGACACTCATTGACGATCATTTATATCGCTATAATTACTATGTTGAATATTGTTAAAACTAGCTGGGTAAGTTTCCACGTAAATAGCTAGGTTTGTTGGGCCGAAATATATGTTATCCGGAAACACAAAAATTGGTTGTCACATGTTGGCATCGAAAATATGGATAAACTGTCAATTAGGATTTGATGATATTGGTAACTTGTATTTAATAAACTAACTTTGTATTTTCTGTGAATTGTAAAATATAGACAATATGTCCTAATAGCAGATTGTGTAGTCAAACAAAAGTTGGTCTATATAGAAAAGAAGTTAGTACAATCTCTATATCAATTAAGAAACACAAGAAGAACAAAAAAATAAAAGACAATCTCTCCGTCATACTATAAAAGACGTTATGTTAATTTGTTAGAATGTCATTGTCAAATTTAGGGATGATAATCCTATCGATTAAATAAATCTAAATTGATTTCGATTGTCAAAATATGGATCTAAATATAACAAACTAACCAAATTGCAATTTGTTTTGATTGATTTTTACAATTCGTTTTTTAAGAGGCAATACATTTTAATAAATATATAACTTCAGTATTAGCCCAATCAATAAAAAAAACTAGAGAAAATTGTTTAAATCGTTATGAATTAAAATTTATAAACAACTACAAATTAAGAAAAAATATATTATAATTTTAAATTTTATAGATAAAACTTTTTTTTTTGTAAAAAGTACGTTATAAAGTATTAAATGAGACTTTCTGATATATTAAAAAATTAGTAAATTATTAAAATACTAAAGATATATATTAAAAGTAAATAAAATAAATAAATAAATAAAAATTGTTAGTCGGATATTTTAGACCATCCAGATTTTATTTTATAAACCAAAATCAATCCAAAATCCTAAATAATAATTCGGTTTTTTCGAAGACCAATCCAAAATTCCGAATATCTACAGGAAATTGTTTAATTATACGATTTTTTTATTCAAATAGTAAACACGCCTATTCAGATTTGAGTTATGTGTTTATGTATGATTACATTGTTTAGTTGTTTAGGTACTCTATAATGATACAGAGTACATTGTTTAGGTACTTTATAACACCTAAATTGTTTGAGTTGTGTGTTTAGGTACACTCTATAATGATATATTCTTAAACATCTACATACACCACAATATCTTTTTTTCTCTTCGACAAGGAAATTAATTTAGCTCCTTAATAAACAACCTCTTATTCAAAGATTCAAATGCATCAGTCCTCTTGTTTCTCTGTTCACACTAATTTAACGGTTATTTAATAGTCGTTGATCGAGTAAGATATGATTGAGTCAAAGCGAGTCAAACATAACTTTTAATTTAACCGAATAAAAAACATATTAAAAAAGTCATGACCGAATCAAAAATTCTTAAAGGACACATCAAATATTTTAAATATGACCGACTAAACCCAAACCTTTTACAAAAACCCAATAAAAAAAACATATCAATAAGAACGTTGGACTTGCTAGCCGAATTAAGTGTGAGTTACCCGCAAACTGCATGGTATGCGTGTAGATGTTTCTATTTATATTTTGAATTAATCCCATCAATTCCAAACAAATGGACAAGAAATAAATAAAAGGGAAAATGACTTACGACCCCAACGAAGTTTCCAAACCGTTCAAAAAACCCCAATCATGTTTTGTCTGTTCAAAAAAACCCAATAAACTTAACATTTTGTCTAAAAAACCTAACTAAGTTAAACTTTCTGAAAGTCAATTAAGAGAAACGAATGACATGGCTTATTAGTGTATCGGAAAAATGACTTGTTAGACCAACGAAGTTTCCAAAACGTTTAAAAAATTCCAATCATGTTTTAACTGTTCAAAAAAAAACCCAACGAACTTAAACAAAACAAAGTTGGGATTTTTTGAACAATTTAGAACTTTGTTAGACTTTTTAGATAAAATGTTAAGTTCGTTGGATTTTTTTGAACAAACAAAACATGATGGGGTTTTTTTAAATTGTATGGAAACTTCATTTTGCTTTTAATCATTTACCCTAAATAAAATATGAATGAGAGAAATAAAAAGTCTATCTCTATTTTTTTATATCTCTAATCATTTACATTCACCCCACTATTATCCACATCCTCTTGACCATGTATGGTGTTTTCATCTGCGCTAACATACGCCGAGAGGTTAATATACCTCTCTCGTTCAGCTGGATCTCTCCATCTTGCACGACATATCACACAACTCGTCAATCTTCTCCTACTACTCTTCTTCCATGCCACCAAACACTCTTCATGAATCGGATTCTTACAAGTCTCACACGCCACCAGTTTCCGATCCCCTCCGCCCATCTCCTCCAGACACACCGGACAATTTGAACCCTCTTCCACCTGCACCGGGGGTCCCTCCCCATCTGGGTTTGTTGTGGCACGGTGGAGATACAGTTCTTGGTAGCGTTGTCGGATGGCTACACCAGCAACCGCATCTACAGCGACGGGAGCAGAGAGGAGGCGGGTGAGTTGGCAAGGGCGGAGGGTGCGGCGCCATAAACAAGGGTCGTCTAGGGAAACAGAGAGAAGGCGGATGTAGACGAAGAGTATGTGTTTGCATGGGGTGGTACTGTCAGGGCATGTGCAGGACGGGGTGGCGGAGAGAGTGACTGTGTAGACATTTCCGGTGGCGCCTAAGATGAAGAAGTCGTTGTTAGAGCGGTGGAGAAGAAGGAGACGGTTTTCAAGTGCACGGAGGACGCGTTCGGTGAGAGGCTCAGGTGGGTATTGGCTGGAGTCGATTGCTGGTGGTGGCTGCGGTGGTGTATCCAAGGTGGATATGGAGGTGGAGGGATGATCGGAGTCCATTACTGTTTAGTTTTTTTGGCGGGAAAGGGGTAATGTATAGAGATTCTTGGAGGAAACGTGAGGGGGAGGTAAGAGAGTAAGTTAACGGGATAAGTTACCGGTTATCTTGTTAATATCAGCTTGAGGTTGTCCGTAAGGCAAGTCAACATGTACAAGAAGGGACTCTTAGAGGGGGTTTGAATCAAAATAAAAAAGCCAATAAGGATAACGATTTATTTTATTTTATTTATATTTAATCAGTTTTTACATTATATATCATTTTTTTTAAAACGGCCGAGATTTTATTAAAGCCACAGCCTAAACAGCAAGGCTGGCCAAAAAGAGAACAAAACAAACGGAATTACAAAATAATTTCCATAATTTTCCTTATGTTTAACCCAACCAAAGACCATCGAGAGTATATTATCCGTCAACTTCTAGGAAGAAACTCGAGCCTTGTGGAATAGGTTTTCGCTTCTCGCTTTCCAAACACACCATAGATAACCATGGAGGATAACCAAAAGAATTTTTCGTATTTTGGGACAATTGTCCCAAATCAGAGCAAATTTAAAGATATTGCTCACCGATTGGAAATTTTGCCACAATATTTTACACAAACTAAAAGTCCACATTAACACATTAGAAGTAGGGGGTTTTCATAACCGGATATCCGAAAATTTGGATATTTGAATTTCGAATATCCGAAATTTCGGATAGTTGATTTTTGGTATCCAATTCCGTATCCGAAATTTCAGATATCCGAAATTTCGAATACGGATTCGGATACCAAAACGGATATCCGAAAATTTGAAATTTTGTTCAAATTTGAAAGTTTTTAATGTTAGAAAGACATATTTTTAAATTAGAAAGGTATATGAAGTAATATATGTATTTAATTAAGGGTATTATGAATATGTTTTAGTTATTAACAATCATGTTATAAGACATGTGATTAAAATAACAAATAATGTATAAACTAAAATCAAAATTTTCGAATATCGAATATCCGAATTATCTGAAAACTCTGAAAAACACTATCCAATTCCGATTCCGAAAAATCGGATATCTGAAATTTCGGATATCCGATTTTTCGGATAATTCAGATTTGGAATTTCGGAATTTCAGATACGGATATTTTTAAACACCCCTAATTAGAAGTAAAAGAGCAGCCTAATAAAAAATAATCAATTTTGTTACTCCCATAATAGCATAAATGACAAGAGTTGTTGGGAATAGAAATGCCCTTGCAAGAGAGTGCCACCGCCGAAGGAATTCTATTAATGCAAGACCTCCAAACATACCTTCATCGGACCCAACTTTAACCAAACAGTCGAATTTGTCATAGGAATTGTTAACCTTTTGTCAATAAGAACACGTAAATCGTGCAAATAAAAATTCTCGTCATTAGAAAGCTTGGTCATCCATAAATCAGGCTCACAATTGAGCGAGACTGAATCTACAAAGTCAACCAGACTTCTAAGCTCTTCAATTGTTGAATATGTTCATATTTTATTTTTGTGATGAAAAGGAATTAAATATGAACAAAATTAAAAATTCTTTTGAGAACCAATATTTGTATGAGAACTTAAAAAGTTTTATTTTGACCGAATTTTTTCAAAAGCAACATGTCACACACCTTTAAGGTATCGTCTAAGTTACTTGCACCATAATAATAATAAAAATAATGACATTTTTTGTAATTAAAGGTAAAAAATGACATTATTGTAAATAACAACACATCCGAACCTAGTTTCACAAACAACTTATCAGATATTGCAACTTAGATCTAAAAGCTAGATCTGTTTCATTTTCTCATAGTTCTAAAAAAATCAACCACTCCATCCTCTTTCTTATTCTACCACCGATGGTAGGAGCCTCCAGCTGCCGCCGTCGTCGATGTCCCACTCACCACCGCCTCTCCGGGATCCAAATGCATATTGTCGTTGTTTGCAAGATCTCTAATTTTTGCTCTAGATCCATTGTATCGAACCACCAAAAGAACCACTAGATGTGTTGTTGGCGTCGTCTTGCTCTAACTCCAGATCTTCGATTTATGCTGATAATCGCCACCACTGACAACTGACGAGGTTAGATTTACAATCGCATCAACTCTAGCGGAATTTTCTCGGACGACATCACCTTCGTTGTCGTTCTCCGTCATGGTCTCATTTCAACGACTAACCACCTCCTCCATTTGTTGTCGTCTCCGCTTATGTGATTCTGACCACTTTATTTTGTGTTTTTTGCCCATATCTATTTAGATCTGAATGATTCCGGTGGTTTTTCCTTATCTCCAATGGTGTTCCCAGTATAGATCTAATCAGATCTACTACCTACACCTTCAGATCTATAGCATCCTTCTTCAGATTTGTCATCAGATCATTGCCACCATTGTTGACCACCGCTACTATTGACGACCGCCGCCACTATTGACCTCTTCTCAAGGTGTTTGATGTTGTCACACCCCCGAACCAGACGGCGGAAACGTCTGAGGGCTCGCGTGACTTAAATTGAATATCATCACAATGAATATACATGAAACATAACATAAACATCACCATGCATTAATACATTACAACTGACATTGTTCACATCAATTACATTGTCTAAATATTACATGTCCATACCATGAATTGTTTGAAAGTTTTCAAAACATAACATCCTAACATACTTGGTATTACTCTTCAGCTTACCTGTTACCTGAGAATACAAGTTATTTTGAAAACGTCAACCTATGGAATGTTGGTGAGTTCATAAGCAGGGTTGTTATGAAAATGTTTTGTGCAGTTTGTAAAACCCAGAAAATCCAATATTTTCTGAAAAGCTAATTGTTTATACTAAAGTGTGAAGATCCATAGGTTTATGCATGAATGATTTCAAAACATGTATAAATGAGAAGTTTTGCATTATAGTTATTGAAGGTGCAAATAAAAAATGTTGATTTCCCCGAAAAACCCGATGTTTTCTGATAAAAATAGTATGATTATTTCGAATTATTGTACCGTCACAACGAATGATCATGAATTTCCTTGATTACTTAGACAATATTGGATTAATTTATGTGAGTCGTTATAACCATGCATGATAATGACTAGTTCGTCTGTCTTGGCATTCTAGCGAACGCCGGAATTGATCTTAAGATTTTGTCACCCTAAACTGGCCGAGTCTAAGTGTAGCGAACAACTGAGGTGTGGGGGAGTCACCCCCGCATAGATCTATACACAAACTCTCGCTCTCCCTCCAGGAGACTTTGATTATAACTACAGACTACGACCGACACTTATTGGTGTCGTCCGTTATTACTCACTTAATCCAAATGAATTTTATTAACCTTGATTAACGATCTGATTTGTGTTTACTTGAATAGCAAGTAAGCCTAACAGATGAGGAGAAGAGGACCACGATGTCCTACTAATCACGCTTGTTATAAGGTTGTCGAATATATGAAGGACGTGTTGGCCCATTTCTCATATGATTTACTTGGATCTTACTAGCAATGTTAATGGGCCATTGAGGCCCAATAGCACGTAAAAACCATTGAGGGTCCCTTAAGCATGTAATTGGGTCACAGGAGGCCCAATAAACTTTTATTATTATTGTTGGGCCCAAAAGTCATGTTAATGGGTCACTAAGGCCCAATAAGCATGATTAGAATATTTCAAACCCAACAATTTGAATATTTACTTGTTTTATGTATAGTATAATTGTCGAAAGTTAGATTGAACAATTGCTAAATCTCAAAGACACGAAGCTTGTCGATTGTTTATAACGGTATTTGAAAATATATGTATATTCTTCATTCTATTTTGATAAGTTATAGTTTGATGTTTTTGACCCAAATATCTTAGTAATAAAATAATTGACTCAAAAATATTGGTTTAACCTATTCAGCCCTTCTTTAATAAAAATGACAATCTTAGTCCCGTTTTATAAAAAAAATGACATTTTAGGCCCTTAAACTATTTTCTTGACATTTTTGGCCCACAGACTTATTTAAATAATGTTTTTAGCCAAAAATTTACTCTTTGGCAGTTTCAGCCCCTTTTGTAAAGGATTTTCAGTTTAAGTCCAAACTTTTCGCAAATTTTACAATTTTTACCCAAAATCCAAAAACTTTGCATTTTTGATCCTTTTTGGCAAAAAGGATCATTTTAACCCCTGAAATAGATTTATTTACTATTTTTACCCATGGTTTTGGAAAATTTACCATTTAGCCCCTTAAAACTCATTTTTTTCGCAAGTTTTTGGGCCTATGGGCCGAATGCCCAAGGTTTGGCCCAATTGACTACAATTTTAAATTCTAGTCCTTTGAAAAGCATAATATTCATTAAAGCTTCTATTTTAACTGTTTGGACTCTTTTGGTCTTTATAAAAACCCTAAATGACAATTTTTCCCCAAACTTTTGCTTATTTGACAAAAATAGCCCAATAATGAGTTTTATGTTGTAACTTGTTTATTTTAACTCTTATATGGTAGATTTTATTAACTTGTTAAGTGTAATACATTCTAGATCACATATTTTTCCTCCTTGAAGTATAGATCTCGAAAATCCCTTTTATTTTGGCACATAAATACCACATAAACACAAAAATTACACATAGCACACAAACACACATAGATCTACACATTTCACTTGTATTCTCCCCCATAAAGCATGTGAAAACCAAAAATAGAGGGGTATGAACTCACCTTGATTTGTTGCCCATGGTTTTGAAGAAAGAAATGAAGAAAATTTGGTCCTAGCAAGCCTTCTTGGGTGGATCTTGATCTTAGGTTTTCTAGGATGATGATCATGAGTTTTAATGAGTTAAGAAGAGAATTTTGATAAAACAAAGAAAATAGATCATGGATCCAAGCATCAACTTACCTAGGATGATGATTTTTGTGGAAGAATCTCCTTGAAATGTTCCAAGATTTCAAAATTTTGATGAAGAAGAGGAGAAGTTGTTGTGAGTTCTTGAGAGAAAACTTTAAGTGAATTGTGTGTGTGTGTTCTTCCTTTGGCCGAGAGTAGGAGATA